TCCTGTATTGGTTTCTGAAAGGAGAAGCAAGTCATCTGCATAAAGTAAACATGGAAGTTGGTTATTTAATAAAGTTGGTGGGTCATTGTTTGATGCATTTATATGACTTTTAATATCATTTAAGTACATGTATATATTAAAAAGCAGCGGACTTAGACCATCGCCCTGTCTGATGCCTTTCTCAATTGGGAAAGTATTGGTCAAGCCGTTTTTAACCTTCACACATCCAGTAGAGTTTGTATAGATTGCTTTAATAATATTATAAAATTTACCAGTGACTCCATTGTTTCTGAGATTGTGTAAAAGACCCACATGCCAGATGGAGTCAAAGGCCTTTTTGAAATCGATAAAGCATGAAAACAGGTACTTTCCATTGGTAGTATATTTTGTTAGCAACTGTTTTAACACAAAAATGTGATCGCGGGTCCCAAATTTTGGCATGAATCCTATCTGCTCTTTCCAAGAGATAGTTGCTTAAACGCTGTTTGAGAATGGATGTAAACAATTTGCTTAAAGTGTTGAGGAGAGTTATCCCCCTGTAATTACCAGGGTCTGTAGAGTCGCCTTTTTTGAAAATTGGGATGATGATCCCTAGGTCCTTAGGGATTTATTATTATTTATTACGCCCCACTAAAAACCGGGGGGGGGGAAATTCCGGGAGGTCCCGGCGTCGTTGTCGCACCCCCCTGGGCCTGTAAGTGGCGAGAGTGGTTGGAAACATGCACAATGTAGAGCAAATGTGCGATGAGACGCATTTGATTGAAACAAATGGCGGCCATCATTGTGTGTTCCCTTCCGGTCGATCGGTTGTTGTCAATGAAAAATGAAACCGGTTAAATACACACCGTTAACATACCTGTCTGCTATAAGAAAATTAGGAAGGGAAAATACAGTTTGATTTATCCTTTTGTGTCCTGACTTTAGTGAGAAACTAGCGATCGCACAGTGTCACACTTTGCCAGAAAAACAGTCCTGCTATTAGTTCAAGAACTGGTTATGAAACGTGTAAATCGAAAGTTTATCTCGTCATTTAGGAGGCTTGGGAATAACGTTTGGCATATAAAATACTGGAATAATAAAAACGTAAAAGTTTAGAACACGCTGATCGTGATTCTGTTATGTACGATTGCTATTTCCGGTGTTCATTGGCAACTGCTAGCAGATTGAAACTTGGTTTCGTGACGACATATTAGACTAGAATTATCCACAGGCGCTCGGTAGTTTCGATGTCATGGTGTCAACGCTTTCCTACCTTGTGTTATTATATGAGTAGTAGGGGAATTTACCGGCGACTGACTAACTATGCCGATCCCACTTTAGGTCATTTTTTATTATCCAGGAAACGTTCCGAGCGCCTGTGTACACTCCATGATGCTCTTTGCTGCAGTTTAGCAGCTCTTATTGGCCGCTTAAGCTATTTTGATATTACGTTGCGGCCATAGAGCTGCAGATCGCGTCCATTGAGAACCGCACAGTTCGCCGCCCCGGGATCCCGTGGCGCACGCTATTTTTGATGTTATCGAACGATTTCAATGAAATTTAAAACGAATAAAAGTTATCCTTGCAAACACAAACATCTTAGGTATCTACTGACCGAAAATGAAGGACTATTTCTTCTTGAAAAGTATATATTTCTGTGTATAATTAGACCGAACGTAATTTAATCGATTGAACGACGGATTTCAAGATGACCTCTGTCATGTGACCTGATG